CAAGAGGAAGTTTGTAACACGGTTGAAACTGAGGAATATAACATTCCAAATTTACGAGATCCATGTGGAGCAATGATAGATGTGGATCCAATTGAAATTCGCGAATCAAATTTAGAAGGTGTTGCAGAATCTGATTTTGAGACAGAGGATGAAGATGATGATGATGATGCTCATGAAGAAGACGAAGGTGAAGATGAAGACGAAGACGAAGATTATGATTTTTGAGACTTTTTAATAATTATGTGTAATTATTATTATTATTATTGTGACAAATGTTTATTGTTGTTGTCATAATTATTATTGTTGTTGTTATTATTATTATCGTTATTATTAGGGTTAATACCACGAAAAATCCTAAACTGGTACAGTTGTGACAATTTTACCCCAAACTATTTTTTTATCACAAAAAACCCCAAAAGTGGTACACTTGTGATAAATTTACCCCGAACTATTTTTTTGACCGCAAAAAACTCCGAACTAGTATATTTGTGATAATTTTACACAAATTAATTTTTTAATGTTATTTTTTATTTTTTCGAAATTTTTTATTAATTTTTTTCTTTCTGGTTCTTTTCTTTTTTTCCTTAATATTCATCATCTTCAACCTCTGGCCGGTCACCGGACCGGCCACCGGCCAGAGGTGGAAGCCGGCGAGGTCGGACTCACCTGCCGCTGGCGAGGCTTGACCAAGCGACCGGCGGGGCCGACCTCTCCGGCTTCCGCCTCTGGCCGATCGCCAGACCGGCGACCGACCAGAGTTTGAAGATAATGAATATTAGGGAAAAAAAAGAAAAGAAAAAAATTTAATAAAAAAATTCCAAAAAATAAAAATAAAAATAAAAAATTAGTTGGGGTAAAATTGTCACAAGTATACCAATTCGGGGTTTTTTGTGGTAAAAAAAATAGTTCGGGATAAATTTCTCACAAGTGTACCAGTTTGGGATTTTTTTGTGGTAAAAAAAATAGTTTGTGGTAAAATTATCACAACTGTACCAGTTTAGAGTTTTTCGTTGTATTAACCCTTATTATTATTGTTGGCTAAATCCGTGGCTAATTAGTCACGAAAATAAAATAAAGTCGCGTCGAAACATTATTTTCATGGTCCAAACTTTAGCCACAATGTAACTTTTGAAGATTTTTTATGTGTTGTATGTAGTGGTACACATAGTGAGCAGTTAAATTTAGATTTTAAAATATGTTTCGAATGATATACTGTTCCGGTTAATCATCGCTGGAGAAGATGATGAACAATGTAACCTCTATTACGATGAATAAAATACTCCAAGTATTGATTGTTTGTCTTTTAGTTCGCATCTTGGATGTTTGTTGAATAAAATACTCATACTTTTGATGTTTTGTCGACTATTCCTCAAAGATGTGATTACGCATGCAGTGACGTTTTAGTCACTTTGGTACTGTACGCCGAATGGCATATACCCTAGAATATCCGTTTCCGCTTTTTGGGATAGAAAAGTCTACGTTTGGCTAATTAGCCACGAATTAAATTCGTGGCTAAATACGTGGCTAATTAGCCACGAAAATAAAAAAGTTCGATGCTTTTTTGAATTTATTTTATTTTTGTGGCTAAATTCGTGGCTAATTAGCCACGTATTTAATTCATGGCAAAATTCGTGGCTAATTAGCCACGTATTTAGCCACGGATTTGAATTTGGATGGCTTTTTCGGAATTTAATTTATTTTTCGAAATTTAATTTATTTTTCGTGGCTAAATACGTGGCTAATTAGCCACGAATTTTGCCACAAATGTAAATACGTGGCTAATTAGCCACGTATTTAGCCACGAAAAATAAAATAAACTCCGAAAAAGCTATTCTACTTTAAATTCGTGACTAAATACGTGGCTAATTAGCCACGTATTAAATTCGTGGCACAATTCGTGGATAATTAGCCACGAAAAATAAAAATTCCGAAAAAGGCATTGAACTTTAAATAAATTCCAAACAACTTCCAACTTTAAATTCGTGGCTAAATACGTGGCTAATTAGCCATGAATTTTGCCACGAATATAATACGTGGCTAATTAGCCACGTATTTAGCCACGAAAAATAAAATAAATTCCGAAAAAGCCACCCGACTTTAATTTCGTGGCTAAATACGTGGCTAAATTAGCCACGTATTAAATTCGTGGCAAAATTCGTGGCTAATTAGCCACGTATTTAGCCACGAAAATAAAATTCGAGGTCTTGTCGGATTTTATTTTATTTTTCGTGGCTAAATACGTGGCTAAGTAGCCACGTATTAGATTCGTGGTAAAATATGTGGCTAATTAGCCACGTATTTAGTCATGCAAATAAAGTCTCGTTGCGTTTTCGGACTTTGTTTTATTTTCGTGGCTAAATACGTGGCTAATTAGCCACGTATTAAGTTCGTGGGAAAATTTGTGGCTAATTAGCCACGTATTTAGCCACGAATTTAAAGTTCGATGCCTATTTCGGAATTTATTTTATTTTTCGTGGCTAAATACGTGGCTAATTTGCCACTAGTTTTGCCACGAATTAAATACGTGGCTAATTAGCCACGTATTTAGCCACGAAAATAAAATAAAGTCCGAAAAGTTATGGAAACTTTATTTTCGTGGCTAAATTCGTGGCTAATTAGTCACGAATTTTACCACGAATTTAATCCGTGGCAAATATTTCCGCAATGCCGCCAAGAAAATTTTGTCGAAAAAGTCTTTGCGCGCAAAAGACTAAAATATGACACCCTTCTTAGAACAGGAAGCCCCCTCTTCAGAAAGATCTCTCTCTTCCCCTGTTCACAGACCCTAACAATCATCTTCATCTTCATCATCTTTTCTTGCAGTTGTCTACCCCAACATCACTCACTCGGCTCATTCAAGCAATTACTCTGTTTTTCCCCACTTCCTGTGGCTAGCTGGTGTTTGCTTCGCTACATCACCTCTAGCTTTTGAGGTCTTCGTCACTCCGGCGCGACTGCAGGCGGCTCTTGCTTGTCGTTCGATTTTTTTCATCTCCTGTGACTCACCAGCTCTCTCACGGCTCTCAGTTCATTCTCCTGTCCGTCCGGTGAGTCTCGCACGATTGTATTTTGTCACTCGTCTTTTCGCCCGAGCCCGATTAGGGTGGCCCTCGCGCAGATCGACGAGCATCCCTCCCGATCTGCGTGAGGGCCGCTCGGGCGAGCATTTATAAGGCAACTGAAGTCGTAATTTTTTATCATCACATAGGGAATCGCTAGTTCCAGATGGGTTTTGCTATTTGTAGCTGGGGTTTATTTTTATTGTCATTTGGTAAGAGGAGGTGGTTTTTGCTGGAAATAGCAAGACCTTGCCTGTGAAAGCTTTGGCAGTTTAGGATTCCTATGAACGTTGTCCTTAGTACAAGCAAATGGGTCCTTATTTTTATGTCTCTGATCTCTCTCTCTCTCTGGCCCGACATTGGGACTTGCATCCGTGGGTGGAGAAGAAGTATAATTGTTCTTGAATCTGCTCCACTGAATTTTTGTATTACTAAAGCGTGATCAGATCTTGTTTTTTCTTCTTTCCTATTAAATTTCTTTCTCAGTATCTTTGTTGGTTGATGACATTGCCCGGATGATAAGCAAGAAGAGCGCTTTAGTTGCATTTCTGATTGTTCATCATTATTATTAAGACATAATAGTTGAGGCCAGTCAATGTGCTTCTCGTGTTGTTTAACTTTGAGCTAAAAGAGTATTTTCCAGATCTCCCTTTCGGCGACTGCGCTCCAGCTGAGTCGTGCTCTCCTTTTCCTTGCACCAGTGGGTGTTTAAGGTTCGAATTTTTCATTTTGGTATTGCATATACATGCATGGTCATCAGAGGAAGAGCTTGCTGAGAAGCAAGAGGTCTTCTTTTTCTTCTTCTTCCTATGGTACTTGTGGAGCAGCACTGCAGATCTTGGCACGTGGTGAAAGTAAATCGTTCATGGGCTTATTATTAGCTTATGAAGTAAATTGATCACGGGTGATTTCACAAAACACTTTCTTAGTCTTTTCTCGAGCAGATTAGGTACAATAAATTTTTTGTCCTCATCAGTCATGGAGACAAAGTTTAATATAAGGGAATGTCCTGCTTGGTTCTTATGGGTCATGTCCTGATCTGGCCGGCACCATGCTTTGATCAAATGGGGCACCTTGGCTTAAAGGAAGAGGGAGAGGGAGAGAGATGAGTTCGTAATAGTTGGCATATGAGATGGATGAGGGAAATTAATGAATGTAGGTGAGGCCAACCATATATTAAGGAGTGGGTGGAAGTTTTAAGCCAAGCTATATCTGCCCTATTGCTATTGACATTTGCTTGGGTTGCCTCAACTTCAACTGCATTCTTTTCTTCCCTATTGATGCAATAGGATTTCATCAGGAACAGGTTTCTTATCCTTATTTAATAACTTGGCATTTGTTTGTTCATTCTTCAAAGGAGGATCCACCCTCAAGTTTATCTTTTGCTCTTTGAAACAAAATGGTAAGCTTTATGACGTACGTCATTTTGTATCCCTAATAGATGTTTATATTTTTTAATATATTTGACTAACTTTCTTACTTGTCAGTATAAACGTGGAGGTCCCATACGTGGTGCGGTATCACAAAGAAGATCAGCCCCTTCCCCTTCCTCGTTCTCGTCCCCGGCCCTTTCCTCTTCTCCTGTCCTTTCATCTAACCCTCAACCACTACATGGACAACATGGACACATTGGCCCATCCTCCGAACCTGAAGAACATATTAGGGGACAACTTGGAGACATGCGAACTGAATTTACTTCAGTTCCATCTCCTTCGATTGCATCTCCTTCGATTCCACCTTCTTCTTCAGTGCAACATTCGAATGTTGAAGAAGATAGTCGATTCATGATATGCCCATGTGGAGATTCGTAAGTACTTCATTTTTTAACGTATATGTAAATTATGGATGTCAATTGAATTGTCTATGCTGCAAATTATCCATATGCTTCATTGTTTCATCGTTCATATTATTATAACCTGTTTGCAGATTCACGGATGCCATCATGTTGTGAGGGAACTTAATAAAATCGTCGATAACTATTGGATGGGGCAGTATATTAGTTTCAGCAGCGCTCCAAAAGAAGTAAAGAATTTGTGGTGGAATGAGTTCAAGGTAAGTTTTGTCGTTCTATTTTCTCAAAAACTAAGTTCGGCGTAGCATACTAATAATCAAGAATGAATTTTGTCACGAATTATCTGGTGCATGGTAATGGATATGTGACCTGTGACTCTCATAATAACTTTCGGTTGTTTTTGTATTGATTGTAGCGGAAGTTTAGGTGGGATGAAATTGAAGAGAATGAAGTTAAAAGAATTTTTAAGAAGAAAGCCGGTGATCACATGCGAAATGTGATGAATAAAGCAAAGAGAAAGCAACGAAAGCCGGATTTTATTACAGCTGATAATTGGATGGAAATTACGAGAACTTGGGAAACTGAGAAGCATAAGCAAATAAGTAAACAGAATAAGAAGAATCGAGCTTCTAGTTCTAGTGAAGGGTCTGCGTCTGCCACATATGCTGGGGGCTCTATCAACATCGGGGAGCATAGAAAAAGAATGGTAAGTTTGTTTAAACATGTTGTAAGTTAATTTAATTCAATGATCTTATTTATGTTTATATTTTGTAGGCAGATGAATTGGGGACAGAACCGACGTTTACAGCTACATTTGAACGTACATTTCAGAAAAAAGACAAGACGTGGACTGGCGATCGAGCAAAAGCTATTAAGGTATGTAAGGTTTATATTTTGGATTTTATGGAAACTATAATGAAAACCATGAATGTTTTTAATACTTATGGTAGTTATACATATGAATTTATTTTATTTTCATCTATATTGTTAATGTAGGAAAAATATGATGAACTTTTAATGAGCACTGCTAGTGGTGGTGATGGTGGTGATGGTGTTGCTGCGTCTGAGCCATCGGTTGACAGCATGGCATTATGGCTGGAGGCATCGGGTGGGATGAAAGGAGGAAAAATATTTGGGATGGGATCCTTGTCAAGGGCATACACAACCAAGGGTGCTGCAACTTCATCCTCCAATGCGACTGTTTCAAGGAGGACACGACATGAGGAGCAAATGACCCAAGAATTGAGCCAACTGAAAGATTTACTTGTACAAAAGGACGAAGAATTCAAACATTTACTTGGACAAAAGGATGAAGAAATGAGAGCAGTGAAACAACAAATGCAATTGGTCTTGCGACACCTCAACCTCGATCACGATGAGGTTCCTCATGTACATCCCAATAATCCAATAGGTGATGGGCACAATGATGAGCCACACAATGATAATGAGATTGCTGATGATGATGATGATGATGATGAATTTATTAGCAATCCTTGCTAGTTCAGGAGCTTCGGGGGTAAGCTTATGAGGACCGACTTACAACAATTACTTTCTGTTGAGATCATATTGACCAACCTATGCTTATTTGGAGCTTTTCTTTGTGCAGTATGTAGTTCGAGATATTAATTTTGCACTTTTCCAACATTCAATATTGATATTGCTTTTCTTTGTGCAGTATGTACTATTCTCATCTTATGAACTTAGGATTTCCAAGAAGGCATTGGAGCACCTATATTTCTCTTGACATCTCAAGTTGGTGGTCTAGGCCTCACCCTTACAAAAGCAGACCGTGTGATTGTTGTCGATCCAGCATGGAATCCAAGGTACTACTGCTTATTCGATTGTCGGCCATGAATTCAACTACTTTTGCAAGTACATGAAAAAGGAAAGAAGAAAAGAACTTCTTTTTTCTGTTATATTGTAAGGGCATATTCAATGCCATTCCACAACTTTTAAGTACGAATCTGTGTACTGTTTGAGTTCTAACCCATACTTGTCATGGGTAATATCATTATGGTAGATGATACAAGTTCTTACCCGACTTTAAGCTTCATGCTGCTATGCTAAATAATATTTCATGGTACCAATATCACTGAACTAAAGATGCAAAGACACATGTAAGGAACATCATGTCAGCCTTGACTTGATCTATTCATCAATTTTGACGCAAGTTAATATGATCCCCCCTTATTTGACTCATAAAACAATATGACGGAGCAAAAAACTACCATTTTAGTGATATAATCTTATGTTGTTTTTAGCATACTTCCTGGAAGGGAAGGTACTTTCTTGACATTAACTTCTACTGTGTACTTGGAGAAACTCATGGCACAATATAAGTTTGTGCTTACATTCGCTGTTATTTATTTTCTAATGTCCTAATAGTGTCAGCATTTACCACAAATTCTTTTGGTTCTTTGGTAAAAAAAAATGTATTTATTACTTTAAACCTATGCTTGGTTTTGTTTGGGGTGGGGGGGTGCAATTTTTCCCATCCGTTTTCCCTCCCTTCTTTTCTCAAACATAGCTTAGACATTTTGTAGCTGTTTTCATATATGAGTAAAGAAGCAGATCTTGAGCATATTTCTGTTAGTTTACGTGTGCATTTCTTATTGACAGTATGGATAACCAAAGTGTTGATCGCGCCTATCGAATTGGACAGATGAAGGATGTCATTGTGTATAGGTTGATGACATGTGGAACTATCGAGGAGAAGATATACAGAAAGCAGGTTTTGTATTGTTGAACTATGCTATGGTCTCAATTGGTGCGATGGAAAGATATTTTCGGGGCTTGTATGCAATTTAAGATATTTTCGGGGCTTGTATGCAATTTAAGATAAGAGAAATGACTTAAGAACTGTTATGGTAAACAACGTTATTATCATGGAGCAGATGTTACTATGAAATGCTACAATCAGGAGCCTTAGGTGTTTCACTAGAATTCTTTGGCTTTCGTGTGTTGATGAGCACAAATGATGCATGCCTCAGAAGTACTAGATATATCTGCTACTCCATTTGTCACTGCACTCGTTATCAAATGAACAATCAAGATAAGATTTCTTGTCTAGTTTTCTCATAAAAAGATAGTATCTTATATAATGCATTTGCATTTGTTCTTTTATGAGTGAGTGGCTCACTATATTGTATAAGTAGTGTATTGCAAACATGCAATACTTTCTCAAGGGCATGGAAACCACATAGGACGGAATGTGCCATGATACCCGTCATTTTATTATGGGGCGTAAATTCGGAAAATGTGTTGATTCGGAGGGCTATTTATGTTGGAACTCCACTATTGTAGATTCTTTTCGGAGCTACGGTACCTCCATCATCACGTAGCAATTGATTCAAGCATAGGCCTTAATCAATGTTAAATATATATTTTAGCAATTAATTTTGCTGATAATTAGATTTAAAATCGAAATCGTCCCTAAATAATATTTGTAGCAAACTTACTGACAAAAAAAAAATTTCTTGGCAAATTAGCGACGAATTTTGCCACATATAGATTTTGTCGCAATTTAGCGAAAAAAAAAAGTGCCTTCGCAAATTAGCGACGACTTTTGCCACGGATTTGTCACGAATAAAATAGCGACGAATTTTGCCACGAACTGTATTCGTGGTAAAATTAGCGACGAATTTTGCCACGCGTAGTTAGCGACGAATTTTGCCACGAATAAAATTCGTGGCAAAATTAGCGACGAATTTTGTCACGAATAAAATTCGTGGCAACATTAGCGACGAATTTTGCCACGCGTAATTAGCGACGAATTTTGCCACGAATACGGTTCGTGGCAAATAGCGACGAATTTTGCCACGAATAATTAGTCACGATTTTTGCCTCGAATCATATTTTCGTGGCTAATTTAGCGACGAATTTTGCTACGAATAATTAGTCACGATTTTTGCCTCGAATCATATTTTCGTGGCTAATTTAGCGACGGATTTTGCTACGAATAATTAGTCATGATTTTTGCCTCGAATCATATTTTCGTGGCTAATTTAGCGACGAAAATTGTCACGAATTTTTTTTCGTCGCAAATTAGCGACGAAAATTGAAATTTTTTCGTCGCAAAAATTTGCGACGCCGAATTAGCCACAAATTTTTTTTCGTGGCTAATTTCGTCGCAAAATCATTTAGCCACGAATTTTTCTAATTTTTTCGTGACAAAATTCGTGGCTAAAACCTTGTTTTTTTGTAGTGAATGTGATCTCTAAACTTTAACCAAATGTGCAATATGATTCTTGAACTTTTAATGTTCAATTTGAATGCTGAACTTTTGGATACATGTTTGGTTTAGTTCCTAGGTTATATGAAAATGTTCAATGTTATCATTTCATTAATTTAAGTTAACGAAATTTTCTGATTTGTCTTTCAGTCCGGTACGTTTGAATGATGGAAAAAAAAAACGTTACACAAGGATTACTCACGTAAGATGTTTAAACCAAATTAGAATATAATTATCCTTTTAATGTGTTTAACTTTTTCAATTAGAAAAAAATGATTATTCACGAAGCAATCATTTAAAGAGAAACTTTTACTTCTAAAGATGCAGCTATTTTTAAAGTAGTAACGCAAGAGTACAAGTTCTTTTTAGATGAAAGACGAGGCATGAATTAAATGTCATAGGTTGACATTTAAACCAAGTTCTTTTTAGCAATCATTTAAATGTATATGGTTTAGTTCCTAGGTTATACAAGTTCTTATTATGTAGAGTGGTTAAAATTTGCCACATTGACCCCTGGTTGTTTGAAAAAAATAAAAAATAAGAATGCAACGCAACCCCCAGCTTCTATACATGACCGTTCTTATAGAAGCCGGGGGTTGTGTTGCATTTGTGGGAGATAGTTTACTTGTTCCGACGAAATTTTTCGACGAAGCACTTTTCATCGCAAAACTCCGACGAAATTTTCTGACGAAAAATATTTCGTCGGATGAAATTTTCCGACGAAGCACTTTTCGTCGCAAATCTCCGACGAAATTTTCCGATGAAATATTTTTCGTCGGAAATTTCCGACAATTTTATTTTTCGTGGGACATTTCGTTGCAAATTTCGAACGAAAAATTTTTTGTCGCAAATTTCTGACGAATTTTTGCGACGAAAAAATTTTCGTCGGAAATTTCCGACGAATTTTATTCGTGGCAAATGTGCAATACGAAAAATGATTTTTTTGATATCCGTCCCGACCCCTAATTTCTCTCTGTCGACTGATTCCTCTTATCCCCTCGCTGTTCTCTCTCCGTCTCTCTCTTTAATTTCTCTCGAATTACTTATCGGTGCACGCGCAAATCAATCTCGGTAAAGCTTTTTCGCCGGTAAGTGTCGTGGCTAATTTCATGAATAATTGGCGACGAAAACGGTTCGTCGCAAAATTATTCATCGCTGGATTTGTATTTGTTGGTGTTATGAAATTTTTTTTTTCCTTTCCTTTCCTCACTGGTTTGGCCGATCGCCGGCCATGGGGCGAGGTCCGGTGGCCTGGTCATGGTCGTCGGTCGACCTCGCCGACGCACTGGTGGGTTAGCCTCGCATGGGCCTCGCCGGCAAAGCTCGCCGGCCAAGCTCGCCGGCCATGGTGAGCTCGGCCCCAGCCAGCGGCGAGGCTGGCCCTCGCCGGCACCGGCAAGGGCCGATCTCGCCATGGCCAGCGAGCTCGAGCTCGAGCTCGCCAAGATGTGGGCGAGATCTGGGCTTTGCCGGCCATGGTGAGCTCGAGCTCGCGGGTGGCTTGGCTGGCCCTCGCCGGCACTGGCGAGGGCCGAGCTCGCGGGCGGCTTGGCTGACCCTCACCGGCATTAGCGAGGGCCGAGCTCGCCATGGCCGGCGAGCTCCAGCTCGCCCAGACCTCGGCGAGATCTGGGCGACCTCGAGCTCGCCGGCAGCTTGGCTGGCCCTCGCCAGCACTGGCGAGGGCCGAGCTCGCCATGGCCGGCGAGCTCTAGCCCGCCGAGACTCCTCGGCGAGATCCGGGTGACCTCGAGTTCGCCGGCGGCTTGGCCGGCCCTCGCCAAGACCGGCGAGGGCGAGCTCGCCATGGCCGGCGAGGCCGAGCTCGCCATGGCCGGCGAAGCTCGAGCTCGCCCAGATCTGGGCGAGCTCACCGGCCATGGCGAGCTCGGCCCTCGCCGGTTCCGGCCAGGGCCAGCCTCGCCGCCGGCGAGCTCGAGGTCGCCCAGAACTTGCCCAGGCGAGCTCGCCGGTCGCCGGACCGGCGACCGGCCAAGAAGAAAGGACAAAAAAAAAGAAAAAGAAAAAAAAAGAGAAAAAAAAAGATAATTAAAAAATTAATTTTAAGTTATTTGTTTTTATTTTAGGTACGTGTCCATTTGAAGGTCTCGCAATCCAAGTGAACGTTGCAATTCTCATCAAATAGACCACTTTCTACTACAAAGGTTTCAGTCAAATACTTGGTAAGTTTTCTTGACATGGTAATTTTTTCATTTTTTTCAAGTTGAAAGTAATTATTTCGTAAAAAAGAAAATTGTAATTGTTAGAATTTTATGGTT